TAAGAAAATGAAAGCTGAGCTTTAATTAATTTCATTGTGGGGAGGTAGTTACGTGCGACGTGTCGCCACGCTGCCTAGTCATTAAATAAATTAGAGGACATTTTGTTTTAGTAATAAATAAAATAAAACAAATGTAACCTTAAGTAGGTACCCTATAAAAATATCTTCTATCAAATACATTTATTTGTTGTAAGTATGTAAAAAAAAACAAAAGTTAATACCTTCTTTGACAATTGTTAATAATTAACAATTATTGTTTATTGCATTTATATTTACTTTAACATTAACATCCTTGCAACAGTTATATCTAGCTTTATTTAACCTTTTTTTTACAGTTAAGGGTTTATTAAATTACATTTTATTTTTAAAATTGTAAAGTTTTCATATTATTTTTCTACATGTTTTCATGGCACTAAGTGACCTTTTAAATAAAATGTTAAAATAAAGTGCCATTTTTGTAAATAAAACTAAATTGCCTTAAGGTGCTGTATTTTTCATTTGTTCGTTCAAGGCTGGACTATTGCTCGATAATTTGGTATACTATATACAAATCTACAACAAGCAATTGGAATCAATTAATAGAAATTTTTTAAAATATCTTAATTAAAAAATAACTGGTATCTACTAGTGCTGTCAAAAGTTAAAATTTTTCCCGGTTAACCGGTCATGGAATATTAACCGGTTAAGTAAATAACCGGTTACTGAATATGTTGCATAACCGGTCATTAATCGATCATGGTCACGGTTAAATGGTCATTATTAACCAGTTGACCATAACCATTTAACCGTGGCCATGATCGATTAATATTTATAACCGAATTTAATTAATATAATTAATCGATCATGGTCTAAATAAAATAAAACACCACAAATACAAAAATCATCAAAAGATCATGAGAATTGGAGTAAAGCAATGGGGAACAACAATAAAACATTTAAAGAAGTAATTATAATTGTTTAATACATGCTCAAACGTTTATTTTAAATTATTGTGTTTTGTTTACTTTATCTTTAGTTTATTTAAGGTTCATACATAATTCATGTTATGCACCCATTCAACAAAAATATTACAAAAGATCGCTACTATCTGAAATGCGCTCGAATGATTCGTCTCTGTAAAAGTCTGCCGTCAGCGAAATCTCTGTTTACTCTACCGGGTGCAACACCATTTACATCTGGGACTTCTTCATAGACGAGGTCAGCGTACATGCCTAGGTCTAGGTCTTCTTCATAGTCGTCGTCATCGGGCTCCGGTACATTGAAGGTAGGGTTGCCAACTGTCCAGAATTTGGGTGGACGTCCACCTTTTCGGCTCATTTGTCCAGCGTCCAGTCAATACCTTTGGCTTGACGTAAAATGTTCATAATTTTCACGTTGGCACATTTTTCAATTTTTTCCACAATCCGACAACGTTGTACCAGCCATGCCTCGTGCCGCCAGAATTTAAATATTCGTGCCTGCCTCGTGCGCGCTCGACTTTTTCTGTAGGCGTTGCTCACACTCCTTTGAAAGGAGTCCTTTCTTACACATAAGGCAGGAGGTAATAATCCAGTCCTGTCTTATAAGTAACTTACGACTGTTGTCTTAAGATAATTATCGATTTGTTTAATTAATCGTTTGATTGTGACAATTAACGTGCGGAATACGTATTCCGCAGTACTGCGGAACTGCTGCTGCTGACCTATTTAGTTTTCTTAAAAGGTGAGACTATTTTTTGTATAATTTATTAGAACGTTTTATATTAGTTGTTTGATATAATTTTAGTATAAAATAGGACAGTACCTACTTAGTTACTATGTCATTCACAACGTTGCAACGTGGATCATCCAACTACTCTCATGCAACTGAAATTAAAACCGTAAGCATGTAGGACGGGGATTCACCCGAAACCGGTAGAGAAGCGGGCAGAGAAAATCTTTACCTACCGATCGGTCGACCGATTAACCATATGACCAGATAATAACCATAACCGGTTAATCGGTTACCGATTAACTGGTAACCGGTAACCGATTGACCGATAACCGATTATGGTTATACCCTCATTTTCCGGTTATAATAAAATTATGACCGGTTAACCGGTTAATCGATAATCGTTGACAGCACTAGTATCTACCCACCTCAGGTTATAGTCATGCTTGACAGATATGATTTCTTATCATTAGAAACTATAAGAGTTAATACTCCGTTATCTTTTCTTTATAATTTATTACATAATAATATCGACTGTGATATTTTATTGAGTAGAATTAATTTTCATGTCCCAAGACAGGGTACCCGTTCCTGTCCACCTTTTTATTGCTGTAGATGTCGTACTAATATTCTTAAAATCTCTCATTTATATTATGTGTAGAAATTTTAAAATGTTAAATGGTTCTCCTGATATTAATTATTCCTCAATAAATAATATTGTGAATAGAATCAATCTTTAATTTTATCAAATAGGTTATATTTATTATATTTACTATATTTTATATGTGTTCCACTTTGTTAATATATAATATTACTGTATGTGTTATAAATTTTCCTGTAATTGGTTATTTGTACTGTTGGACAATAAAGTATTATTATAAAATTTAATGTGAAAATTATTTTATTATCTCTATATAAAAATACAAAAGCATTAAGTAGTTTCGCAACGCCAATATTTTAAAAATTTATATGAAAATTGTACTGACTTTTTAGTTTCGCCGGCAGTATATAACTTAAATTAAATTCGGACTCGGACTCCACCGTAAAGTGCTCATAAAACATTTTCTTCACTTTCACTGTGAAAAACTTTTGTTAATCCATTTTTAGATTCCCCTATTGTTTTATAGATGGCGCTCTATACAAATATTTAATTTAAATTATTTTTAGGTAAAAATAAGTATTTGTCTTAGAAAAAGTATAGTATGCAACTCGTTTATAAACTTTTCTAGACACTCATTAATGTAAGCAGTCGCTCGCAAGCTCGCTCGTGGATGAATTAAATTCGTGTCTAAAATGGCGTTTATTAAACTTGAAACATGATATACTATTATCTACTCCTACATTGACGAGCTGTAACTTTGTGGTGTTTTAGTCACGGGCTGAAGTTAGGAACCTTGGGATTTAAGCTTTTTAGTCACGGGATAAAAGTTAAAAAAACTAATTACAAATCCGTCTGACAAGTTCGCCAAGTTCAGTCTACACTGTAGACTCTACAGCTATCTCGTCAAAACCTTTTCGACCTTCTCATAATGTACATATACTAAACTACTAGTAATTGTAAATTATTTATATATGTATATGCCTGGGCACGTATCGCTTTGACGACAAAGACGACTAGTAATTTAGTATTTTTGTGTTTCTGGTAATTTATTATTTTTTGTATATACATATGTACATTTTGTACATATCTAATAAAAATGTTGGTTTAGTTAGTTTAGTTAGTGTAGAAAATTATAACAATGATGTTATAATTCCATCTTAATAAACAGATAAACTGCTATAAACAGTAAAACCGTTAATTGAAGGAGTAGGTCAGTAAGTCAGTAATTAATCAATGGTAAAACAATACACAAGCGTTAGATTGTGCCTGGGCACGTATGGATGGACCTTAACGCTGACGTCATATGCCGTTGATGACGAGGACCCATGCAGATTTGGCCGTGACTATATTATGTGCTGATTTAATTTCAGTGTAAAATGACGTTATTTTTAAAAATTAAAAATCAACATCAACACACCTTCAATATTGTACTAGTTAGTTAGTTAACTACTAAACTGATTGGATATTAAGAGAGTAAAATTTGTCGGAAATGTTTAATTTGACATTTTTCAACCAGATTGTCCGTTTCTAATTCGAGATATGACCAAAATTATAAAGCTGCCTTCGAAAAACAAATGAAAAAATAAATGAAAATTTAAATCTCGAAAACCTTTTCCATTTTTCGATTTTAGCAGGCAAAAATAAAGCATTAAGTGGCACAAAATGTACATTTCTTTTTTATTAATTTGTAAACCAGTGTATTTTTTATATAAATTTAAAAAAAAAAATTTGTATTCCCCAAATAACCTATGGTCATTATAACTATACCTCTTCGACATTTGGCATTTTTTATTATATATTTTTTAATTTTGGCTTAACCCGCGACCTTGTAAGGCCGAAAACTTGCCTATTGAGATAATATTAATATTATTATTATAAACAATATTTTTTGTTGTTTTGAAGCATCGTCTACTATGATCATTATTATTATTTTTTGTGTCTAGAGCATCGACTGTTATATGATCATTATCTTTTCTAGCTTTGAGTTTTTATATATTCTGTCATTATTATTATTATTACTATTATTATTATTAGTATTTTTTTTAAATCGTCAAAAGCGTCAGGCCCTAACATGTCAGCAAAAAAATAATTTCTTTGTGTCAGAAAACAAACATTTAAACGGCTAATGGGCAGAAAATATGACGTTTAAACTTCCGGAAAGTGTTTTTTGACCCTATAGGGTAGAGGCTGGATATTTATCTACCTGTACAAAAAACAACGGTCATTTATCAATGTTTATCTCGATTTCTTTATTAAAAAAAATAAATTCTTATGAATCACAAAATGTTATTTACTTCGTATCTCACATATCGATTCACCGAGTCTATGCCAACAGGTGTTATTTATACGAAAGTATTAAAATAAACGCTATTGTGTTCGCTTGCAAGTGTTTCATTTTTTGTATGGAATGAGTGGTATAAACGAACAACAACACGTGGAATTTGTTATTGTTTAAAATATTTTTCAGAATCAAATATGACTTAAATAATAAACAAAAGGAAAATTGTTCTTAAATATTTATAAATTATTTTAATAATAGTGCAAGATAATTATTCATATAAATTTATGTTATATTTAGGAGGTTTTTTTATACAGTTAACGCTAATAAATTGTTATTTTAATAAAATTGCTTCATAACTACACAAGTTATAGATCTAATATTCAGAAATATTATTTAAATAAGTAAAATTGTTAATACTTTTGTACTTACAGTTATTCTTTGAGAAGGTAAACCATGAGGACGACGAGAAGTGTCCAGTAGAGGAGCATCACATGCATTCAACCAGGATTTTGGCACGAAACTGATGATAGAAAAGGAACTACCGTCGCGACGCCAAACGCAGAATCCGATGTGGGCGTCTCTTTAGAAAAAGAGACGGAGACAGCTCACAGACTGCGCACTATATTCTAAACCTGCAAATCGTCACCTAAATGTGTAAAACTGCTAAGTCCGTTATACCTTGTTTTTACACATGAATGAAACCTATTTTTTCCAAATGACAATAAAATGGTAAAAACTGCAAAAGACTTTACTGGTTTGTATTGTAAATCATTTTTACTTATATCTATTTATTTTTTAACTGTTAAAAATATAATAACTAGGTTTTAAATCCAACATTTTTGTTGTGGTAGTTCAGGGCGCGGGTTTCACGACTAACGAACGGTAAACTAGATAAATATTAGCGACGTGATTATGAATGTAGTGCAAAAACGTAATGCCTTTCATTGTTCATTTTATCCTATTAAACTTACCCAGATACCCATGTAAAAAAGAACAAAATTAATAATTTTAAATTATACCAACTTGTAGAGTTATTATTTTGTGTGCCCAACTAATACAAATTGTTGTATTTAATAATAGATTTTTTTAGAGAAACCATTTTCAGCCAAAATGAAGATATTAATAGTATACAAGGTGCACCAAGTATCCTTCTATGTATGGGTAGTATCTTTTTTATTTAAAGAGCCACAAGGTCGGTTAAATTAGACAAAAGTTGCTTAATTACAAATCTATTTAAATATAATTTGAAAATTGGAAAGGCAGTTCCGAAATAATTTAAAAAAAAATAAAATCTTTATAACTTAGTTATTCCTGGGAATTTTGAAAAAAGTACAAAGAGAAAAAGATGTATAACTTCAAATTGATTTGTATCAAGCAAATCCTTGAATTGAATATGGCGAAATAAAGAAAGTATTTCAATTAAATAAACCGTCTATTTGAACAATACCTTTGATTTAATTTAATGTGCATTTATTATAAGTTATTGAGATATTTCAGGTAATATAGTTGAATCAACTATGTTTGTTTAATATAACTAAATGATATATTTACCACAATATAGTTAAACTTTAGTCCAACCCAACTTTTCTTTGTAACAAAGAGACGGATTATACAATACATTTACACCAAAAATTGATATATTTTACACAAATAAATAAAAGATTTTCTGAAAAATTTATAGAGTTGCTTTAAATTAATCTATATTTTGTATCAAAAATATTAAATACTTCGTTCAAATAATTCCAAATAAATGTTTAATTGCCATGTTTGTTTCAAAATTATTATAATGAAAAAAATTAGACATTTTCCAGAAAAGGTATTTTACCTTTATATATAATTATATATAAAGGTGTAAAATGTCTAATTTTTTTTCATTTATTAAAGACAGAATGGTCTTGCCGTTTCAGTATTACTGAAAATGGCTTGAATTACAAACACAAGCCTGCCAGGCTTAGCCTAGCATCATATATCTGAACAAATGGAAATGGAAAGAATACATCAAATTTCAGGCTAAAACACGCAGCACTTCTAAGCAATATATTCTCTCTAAAAATGAATTAGTCAAAAATGACCAATTTAATAGTTATTAGTGGCTGCTTTTTCACTTGTACCATGGTTAACCATGGAATACCATGGTATCCCAAAATTTAACAGCCAATTCTTATGTAAAATTGTTCCCTGAATCCGCAAATACCGTTAAAAATTATGAAAGTGGAGCAGTTTTTGAGATATAGTTAATTCCATAATAAATGGAAAAATGACTATATCTCAAAAACTGTTGACAACATTTTCGGATTCAGGGGACAATTTTACATAATAATTGGCTGTTAAATTTTGGGATACCATGAGATTCCATGGTTAATTATGGTACAAGTGAAAAAGCAGCCACTAATAACTATTAAATTAGTAATTTTTGACTAATTCATTTTTAGAGAGTTAATAAATACACTTACTATAGTCTTTAAACACATTTCATATCATGTTATATCTTTTATCACCTATATATAGGTGATACACACACCTATAGGTACAGATTTGTTTGTCAAATACGAAATTATATTATGTCAAGGGATAAGTATAAAAACTGCTAGTTTAAAAAAAAAACTTTATTTAAGTAAAAATGATAATAACATTCTACATTAGAGTCAAGCCAAGTCAAGTGGGACCAGAAAATTTCACGAAATCACCGATTTTAAAAATAATCACATTATTTTGTAGGCATGACGCATATGTCACAGTAAAAAAATTGTTTTGAAATTCGCTTTAATGTTATTAAAGTTAATAATTTTGTCAAACTTTAGAGCATGGTAAAATTGAAAAAATAGAATCTCTGGGACCACTCTGTATAATTGAATTAAATTTTACACACTTCTGTACCAATGTTTAGACTATTGAATGATCATTTAATTAAGGTAAATTTGTTTAAATAAAAGAATTTTGTATACATTTATTATAAACAATTGAAATTTTTTATGTGTTCTTCACGCTGAAAAAAAATTAATCTTGTGCCATAATATGCGGAAAACGTTCCCGTTTAATAAAATGTACTCAAAAATTTGTCCTTCATAGGTCATTCCGGAGATATCAATTTTTTTCTCCCGCTGTGCATGCGCTTGAGCAGTTACTGAACCGACGAGCTAGCAGCGAAGCGCGCCGCGTACTGATCGAACGCACAGCGGGACAAAAAATTTAATATCTCCGAAATGAGATATAAAGGACAAACTTTTGAGTAGATTTTATTAAAGGGGAATGTTTGCCGCATATGACACAATATCAAATTTTTTTCAGCGTGAAGAACACATACAAAATTTCAATTGTTTATAATAAATGTATTCACAATTCTTGTATTTAAACAAATTTACCTTAATTTAATTACAATTCTATAGTCTAAACATTGCTACAATAGTGTGAAAAATTTAATTCAATTATATAGAGTGGTCCAAGAGATTCTATTTTTTCAATTTTACTGCACGGAAAAAAATAATCGGTAGAGGCTACCGATTGGCATTCGGTAGCAGCTACCGATTGCCAATCGGTAGACTCTACCGAAAAAATCAATAGACTCTACCGATAAAACCGGTAGTCTCTACCGAAAAAAAATCGGTTCCCTCAACCGATTTTTATCGGTAGCAGCTACCGATTATTTTCGGTAGAGTCTACCGATTTTTTCGGTGCAGGCTACCGAAAAAATCGATTACCAATTTTTGAAAATTTTTGTATTTTTTTATTAAATAGAAAATAGTATTTTTTTTTGAGGTATAAATAAATTTGAAATACAAAAATATTAAAAATGAGGAGTAATTTTTATTAAATTTTTTACAATTCTAAATAAATATTAAATTAAATGTATTAATAAACAAGGTTCTAAATTTGGTAATTCTCTTATTCTAATTAAAATTATATTTACATATAAAATAATTGAAAAAACTGTATGTATTTATAATTGGATAAATAAACTTTCTTTTAAATAGATGATAAAAAAACCATTTCTTTGAATAGCATTTTTTAATAATTACAATGAATACCATCTTAAAATGTTTAACTGAAAAGAGTAATTTTTATTAACTTGAATAATGTTTAATATTATTTTTAAATGTTAATATTTTTAAGTATTAATATTTTTTTTTAATTTTCTAACAGCGTATCGATGAGGATTTTCTCGGTTACGGCTACCGAAAAAATCGGTAGACTCTACCGAAAAAATCGGTAGACTCTACCGAAAAATAATCGGTAGCTACTACCGATAAAAATCGGTTGAGGGAACCAAAATTATGAACCTAAATAACATTAACAAAAAACTGAATTTCAAAACAATTTTTTTACTGTGACATATGGGTCATGCCTACTACATATTTATGTGATTATTTTCAAAATCTGTGATTTCGTGAAATTTTCTGGTCCCACTTGACGTGGCTTGACTCATTAAGTATATTACCAATATCGCCACAAAGAAAGTTATTATAACAAGTTTGTTTTACCTTATATTGACTGTATACAGTCAATATAAGGTAAAACAAACAATCTATAGATATATCTATGTACGAATCTTCGCTTGTAATCATAACCTACCTAGGACAAGATGTTGGATATTCGTTTAAAAGTTATAAGTTATTATTTCAATTAATCCTAAAACAGTATCAATTAAATATTACTGTAATATTTACAACAACTTTAAATCAAAGATGGCCGGCGATATCTTACGTGGTGCGCAAAACAGTTTGAGTTTTCGTTCGCATTTTAACGAGATCGAACAGATCTTGTTGTGTGGATTGTGATTGTACCTATTATAATTATCAACTCCACGGTAAGAGCACGCTGTAGGCCCTAATTTACCAATATGCAACATTCTAATGCTCAAAGAAAATGTATGTAAAATTTACCTATAGGTATACCTTCGAAATATGGAAATAAACTCGGTTAATCCCCATTCCGTTAGCTTCTGGCGGCACTGATACCTTTAGGTTTGAGTGCTATACTCGTATATAGGTAGATAATAATCGGAAATAATAAACTGACACAACTAAACTAAGAAACGCATTCACTGCCTGAATCACGTAGGCATATTTCTTACAAGGAAATACGATTTGGTTGTACCAAATAAATGAAGTGTTGTGAATATTGGATTATAATATTGTTATTATCAAACCAAACTTTATTTGGTTCAATATATTTAACTTAATGTTATATTGATTAAGGTTTACTCCTTCACTTAAAGGTACGACTATATGTATAGTAATAGTACTATGTAGTGGGACGAAGAGGAGATTCCTCTTTTGACTAACAGTCGCACACAATATTTTATTTAACTACCGCAAGTAATTTAAAGCAAATTTTATTTAATATTTTATTTGACATCCAACAACAATCCAACTCCAATTATAACTTAAAGCTAACTTCAGCCCTGGGGCAAAATAAAATTTTGCCCACCGGTTAAAGTAAAAAAATGAAATGGGTATTGAATTGGATTTTGGTGCGCACTATTACGCCGGCACTAATTTAGGAGGTGTTTT